GCCATGGCAACCATATTTTCAAAAGAGTCCATGATACTTGCAAATATTTTCCTTTAAGTATCCTAACTTAGATATACACAAATATATAAATAAAACGTATTAATTAACCCTTCATTTCATGAATTAATTTTGTGAAAGCTTTTTGAGAAAAAAAAAATCTTACAAGGTGGACTGTGTTGTGTAGAGAGCATAAATAATGAGGAAATTGAATTATTTTATCAAATAATGTCTCCCGAATCCAAAAGGAACACCTCAGAAACATTGTATGGGGCAAACCTGAAAAAAATTGCATTAAAAGCGTTTTAATAACAAGCTTTAACCCTTTATCTACTGACGGTACTTATAAGTACCACTTTAATTAAGCGCCTGTATTATTTTTAATTTAAGACGAATTTTTAAAATTATTAATGTAATTGATAGTATTATCTCCCTTGAGTCACAGGAAGTGGAGGGAACGATGTTTTTTGAAAATTACTGGTGTGGCGCCATTTTCAATCTCTACCTGTATCGGTAGTTCACAATTGTTCTGTGCATATCTCACACGTGTTCCTGATTTTCCTTTGTTTTACCTTATTCTTCACGTTTTTAACACCGAATATTTTTTATTGGCATCTTCAATAGTCAGGCAAATGCATTTAACTTCTATTTATACAATTTTTATCAAATTGTCTTTGTAATACATAGATGTTTACAAGTGGACTTATAAGTACCGTCAGGGCACACGGACATTTTTTTAGGATTTCTTGGAAATTGCTGATTTTCGATGTGGAGTGCCATAAATATTATTTTGATAATTAATTATCGAAATGTACTTAAAAATATATATTTATGCATTTATAAGAAGGTTAGCATAGGGTTTTCTTCAGAAATATTGTAATTAATTGCAGATTTCTAGTAGTAAAAGAATAACAAGAATAGAGGTGGCAGTTGCAGGCTCGTTTACTAGGTTTAGTATACGTTATTTGTATACCAAAGTCTAGTTCTAGAAGTAAGATTTGTAAGTTATATTTGTTGCAAAAAACTGTCTTGCATACAATAGCTGGCGTGTACGTAATGTATACATGTAGACTAGTAATAGTCCATACATCTGCATGTAGTATAGATCGTTTTGTAATTTTGAATCAGTAAACACAAAACAGTAGGCCACTACGGCTATTCAAAACACATTGAGCTCACTTCTATTTATGAACTTTACACTGTAGTGTAGACTTGTCATAACATTCTAGTAGGCTACAATTATACTAGCATTACTAGTAGTAGTGTATTGAATGACTAGGATTTCGTTTTCAAAATATTTGTTTATGCGGCTCATTATAACGGCTATTGGAAGCCTCATGCAAAAGCAGGTTCAGTCCGGCAACTGTTGCCACACCAGAAAGACGACAGACAAGAATGTCTTAAGGGGATATGCTATGTTTTTTTCTATTTTTTACACTTTAAGATCTAAAGCCTTTTGAATACTTTTATCATATTTGGCATATAAAAGTAAGTACTAAACAGCAAAAAAGAGGGTCGAAATCAATTTTGGTTGTCATGGAAACCCAAAAAACCTCCGCCATTTTGAATTTTTCGGTACTTTTAAAAATACTAAGGCTTTTTTATTTATGCACCTATAGCAATCAAATTTAAACTGCTTATATTTTAGTATATATTAAAACTTTTGTCACGACAGCTTTTTGAAATAATTACTAGTAAGAATTTTACAAGGTCTAAAAAATCGTACCCTTTTTAGTGTTCAAAAGTTTCAAAATTTGCATATTAATTACCAAATACTTTTTTTCTATGAAAGCAATCACTATTCCCTCGTGACAAAAGTTGTATTTTCGCATTAAGAACATTTACTGAAAATATGGTTTGCATTGTTTAATAAATAAAAAAGTAGTAGGCTTTTTAGTGTTAAAAACCTGCGAACTGAGAAAAACAGCCAAAAGTAACGAAAACTAGGTCAGAAAAGTACCATATCTGTGTAAACTGCAAAGCCGATTGTAAGCTTTGGGTGTTTCCGAGATGTCGGAAATTAAGTTTATTAGATACATGAGAAATCCAGCTTTCCAATGATGTCAAATACAATATAATGACGGATATAAAACTTTTTATAGAGAGCTTGTAAGATTGGGAAAAATTGATTATTTTTTAATTAATAGGGTCATAAAAATCGTAATTTAAACACATAAAATATTTTTTTCTCTTTAAAGTTATTATTTTCTTTATACAAAAATGGACAAAGTATCCAAAAGTGCAAGAAACCCATCATGACGAAAAACAAGAAATTTTGTGATTTTTTTCCGCGCATATCCCCTTAAATGAGGAATGAGGGAGCATGACATGTCAGCACCTTTTGCTGTGTTTGAGGTCTAACATATGTTCCGATAGAAAATCCAGTAAAAATCGTACTCAAAATATACTTTGTGCTGTGTTTATGTGTGGAAATTACAAAAAATGATTGTTATAATGATTGCCAAGTTATTATTTAATAAGTTGTATCGTTTTTTCCTGTTTTGTAAATTTTTTAATTTTTGGAAAAAATGTCCTACATTCCTGACGGTACTTATAAGTACCAATACATGTTTGGGCCCTTAAAAATTTATGAAACAAAATTTCCTTCGACATATGCTTTAAATGTGCCAAAAGCAATATGATAACACATTGTTTAAGAAAAAATTTCATTCAGAAAATAATTCCGTAAATAAAGGGTTAAAGTAACAATTAACTAAAAGGAGAAAATAAATTATTTTCTTTAAGTATATAATAGGCATAACTATTTAAGGGGGTAGGCTCCAAAAAAACCAACTTCTTAACTTTGAACGATGCTGCTGTATCGTGTTTCCAATCAAAGTGAAAATGTTTTTCACCAAGACAAAGACGGTGGTAGTTATCTTCTGTATTTACCTCGTCATGTTGGCTTTCCTGGTCCAGTGCGCAGCTTGTCTACATTTCCGGCCTGCCTTTAACCCAATAAAAAACGTGACGATGTTTGCGTTCACGGTCACCAAGTCTGCAGCATGCAACATAGACCTCAGTAACCTGATCAACGTCACGGCACGAGTAGTGCTGTTTATCCTTGATGTTATCTTCACAATTATCATGATACAAAAGCTACAGTTGAAATCAAAATGGCGCGGCGAATCGTCAAGCGGAAACTCCAAATGCGGACCAAGTCTCCGCGACTACAGACTAATCAAAATGTTGGTGTTTATTTCTAGTATGTACATCGCCAGTTCTATTCCCGCCATAAGCTACACCATCTGCTTGGCTTACATTGATACACTCTCCGGTTTCAACCTCAATTTTTACTCGCTGATTTGGGCGATTGCTGTATCATTCGAGGCTTGCGGGAGCTCGTTCAATATTTTCATCTTCTACACAATGAGCGCTCGGTACAAGACGGCATTTCTTGATATTTTCTCTAGGAAGTTTGGTTCAGTAAAAAGAGACATTGTTGATAGTCGTATGGGGACCTCGTGACATTTTAAACTTTGAGGACATTGAATTAATTCTACTCATGCGTTTGATCTGAGTATATGCATAATGTGTCACTAAGGGAGATAGCACTTCCAGTGCAATCGGGATATAGACATGTTTTATTATTACAAGCTTTTATTTTACTTGCTTACTCTATCTTTTGTCTGTCTGTCTATCTAATGGATCGAAATTGGCGAGCGAAATATGGACCTTTTTAACTGACCAATTTCTCTGAAACAAGGCACGTGGGTTAAGACCAGATGACAATGCAATCTGACATCAAATTTGACTTAATTGGATGCTTAATTAATTTTTCAAGCATTAATTAAAATTTCCTATATAAATTTCTATTTACCGCGCTATTATACGCATGTTGTTCATGTTTATTTAGTGCACTATTATTTTATTTTTAGATATGTATGAAACTCTATTGTTTAAAAAAAATTAAAGTACCGAGAAAAATGTATAAACAACGTTAAAAGAACAATGAGAAAATGATTTTCTTTAAATAAAACAATGAACTACCATTTATACAACTAAAAATATAAGGTCAATTCAGAGGCGTAGCTAGGGGTGGGCAGGTGGGGCAGCCGCCCCGGGCGCCGACCATAAAGGGGTGCCAAAAAGGGGTAGAGCAATTAACATGAAAGCTAATTTTAAGCTGAAGTATTGAATTATACACAGTCAAAGTTACAAGAATAAACGAATACAAGGCTTTACACACTGATTTAACTGGTTTCTAAATCAATTTTGTGGCACCGAATTAGAAAATGTTGCGGGATAGTAAGTGGTCAGAATCGACACAAACCTTTCCAACTTGGGGGGGGGGGGGCAGCGCTTTTCACAGACAGGAATAACTATACATAGAAAAAGGAGGGAGGGGGCGCAAAATTGATAGGCCGCCCCCGGCGCTGGAAGAGGTTGCTGCGCCTCTGCAGTTCATAGTTTAAAATAGCATAATTAAAAAAAAAAATTATCTGCACAATTTTGTAAACAAATAACTGTGATGTGGGGCTGTCAGAATATCGATCACGGAGCTCCTGTTCAGCAAATCAATGTGTCTTAGGAAAGTGAAATTTCAAACTATGATGAAAATAAATAGAAATGTAGTCTTGAACTAAAAAAAAATAATTTTAAGTTCTCTGGATTTACAACTTTTATAACATTGATTCTAAAAATATTTGAGAAATTTCTGAATAGTTTTCAGGCTCAAGTTTTTATTCTTTTCTATTTTTTAATGCCGCTTTAATTGCAAAAATCTTGAAAAAAAAAAACAAAAAAAAAAAACAACCAAATAAATAAAATACGTTTTTTTATTCCATGTCAACAATAATGAGTGAAGGATTTTCGTCAGCTCTGTATGTCCATTTTAATTTTTTTAATCGATTAATTAATTAAAAGAGTTTTATTTCGTTTGATAGTTATTACAGTTTTTTATACTTTAAATGGTATCTCAACGACAAAGTCGATTGAGAAAAAAATTCAAAGACTCATTCCCATCGATGATCTTTTTTATCACGTGACTACTTTATTTGGACTTTGTTTAAAAATGGCGGCGCCCTATTCCAAATGTGTAACTTCAGTCCTACGTCCTAACTTATTTAGAGAAAAAGTTGCAATAGTAACGGGTGGCGCTACGGGGATAGGAAAGGCAATAACAAAGGAATTACTTCTTCTCGGTAATTATTGCTTAATATTTAGATCTAGATCTAGGTCTTTTATTTATTTAGGCAAAAGTTAAAACATTTTTAAATTTAGAAAATAAAAAAAAAATTAAATTAAAAACAAATTTAATTTCTCGTCATTCAACACTACTAGATCTAGATCTAGATCTAGATCTAGATTCTAGGTCTAAAAAAAGTCATTCACTGGTCTGGACGGTTTCCACCACAACAATAGCAACAACAAGTACACGACTACGAACAGTACTATAGTACTACACAGTACACATTCAACATCAATTGCATCATTTTATGACATAGTCTTGGACACCTTACAATTTTATAAAAATATAATTACATAAAAATACATAGGCCTATAGATCTAGTAATCTAGTACAATCTAAGTTTAAAGTTAGATGTTATGCTGTGTAATTCACAGAATCTGAGAATACATCAGTCCCCAATTCAGTTTGTGAATGTACCATCAGCTTAAAATGAATCAAAGGTATTTGTAGGGCCTATGTCATGATAATGATGATATTTTTCCTGTTGCATTTTTATCTATTTTTAATGATATACAAAAAAATATACATTCTAGCTGGTGCATTTACTAAAAATTGTAAATAGGCCTAATGATTTAATAATAAAGTAACTTGCTCACTTTTGACAGGCTGTAATGTTGTCATTGCATCACGAAAACAGGACAGATTGCTGACAGCTGAGAAGGAAATCAGTGAGTGGCTGTCACAAATTGAAACAGCCTCAAAACTTAAAATTGTCCAGTGCAATATTAGAAAAGAAGATGAGGTGAGGTTGCGGTCATTTTAAACATTTTATTAAATTTTTGCAGGACTGACTATCTAGCTGTATAATAGTTTTTAAAAGTAAACAGTCCTTTTGCCTATAAAATGGCAAGTCATATCTTAATACTGTCAGGGTTAGGATTATCAGTTATAATGTTAGTATTTGGGTTGATTGGGTGACTTCTAGGGTTAACATAATGTTAGTATATCAACACATGTAAAAGTTAGTATTGGTTAGGTCCTGCCAATATTTTAATAAGTACTAAAGTTTAAAAATATTTCTAGTGAAGAGACTTCTATCCACTTTAAGCATAATTCTGATTTTGTTAGATTCTTTGTCCTTAGCAAATATTCACCACAGACCTGACTCTCCATACAGTAAATGAAGTAGAGCTCATCGGTTTCAGAACCCTTACATATCAAGGGGTTATGAAGTGATTGTGTGGTCAGCATAATGCCCAACCACTCTATCTTTCCCATACTCTAATCAGGTAACGTAACATTTTGTTAACTGTTCCACTCTTAGGTCCAAAATCTGATATCATTTACACTGAAAACGTTTGGTCAATTGGATTATTTAGTCAACAATGGTGGAGGGCAGTTTATGAGTAAAGCAGAGGACATCACGCTAAAAGGGTGGAATGCTGTCATTGAGACTAATCTGACCGGCACATTCTTGATGTGCAGAGAAGGTAGCAGAATTAATGGAGATTAGAGTGAATTGTAGTTATTATAATGACAGGGTGAATGGAAATAATAGTGATTTGTAGATACATTTTTGCTGAATAAATGGAGATTAGAGTGAATTGTAGATGTTATGATAGCAGGGTGAATGGAAATTAGAGTTATTTTTAGACAAACTTAAACTAAATTTGTTTTGTCATATAGCTTTTGTAACATTGAGGAATGTGTTAAATGGTAAACACAGTTTTGCACAGAGGCGTAGCGACCCTTCCCGGCGCCCGGGGCGAACTTTCAGTTTGAATGTCGTTCCCTAAAACTTTAACTCCCCTTAAAATGCATTATCCTTTAGAAAATGACGATCAGTAATGTCAGGAAAAAAAATTGGCGAAGATGCTAATTCGTTTAGGACAGTCTTTTTATGTTTTATCTTTGAAGCTGGAGAGCGGTTTTTCCGGTCACTATTTCTTAAGGATATACGTTTTACAGTTACACAGTCAAGGTAGAAAACAGTTAAATCAGTATGCAAAGGCTCTCAGCCGTTAAATTTCTTTACTTTGACTGTTTATAATTCAAAACTGCAGCTTAAAATGAGCTTTTAAAATTTATTTCTACCCCTTTTGGCACCCCCCTAGGGTCGGCGCCCGGGGCGGCCGCCCTCCCCTAGCTACGCCTCTGGTTTTGCATAATATTTGATCAGAGTTTAAATTTCCATTTATTAATTACTGTATCAAAAAGAACTTCTATAAAACAACATGATATGTTACAAATTCTGGAACTAAACACTGGTAGGTTAAAACAAAATGAATAAAGAATAAAGTGATAAACTTTTATTAAAAATTATTCTGAAATTCTCTGATTTATACATTTTTACTTACTATTTTGTAAAAGTTTTAAAAAATTGTTTTCCTTTAGCTTACAAACAATGGATGAAGGCACATGGGGGATCTATCGTTAACATAACAATGGACATGGTGAAAGGGTACCCAATGATGAGGTAAGTGTTGAACAAAGCATTATATACTTCTCACAGTACTTATTTATAAAATATTTGTACTGTTAATTATTTACCTCCCCTCAATGTTACAAACTAGTCTAGGAATGTTAAAATTAATTGTATATTTAAAATTATTTTCTTACTTGGATATAATAATGTTTTTGCTAAAGATATTAGTAGCTGATTAAAACTTGTATGAAGTTTGAACATAATGTAATATCCATTTTTTAAAACAGTGTATGACTTACCTCCCCTAATTGTTAAAACAAATGGCATTTGAATGTAAAAATTAAATGAAAATATTTTCTGACACAGATTCAATTAACAAAGTAGACTGCATAAGTTGACATTTATTTTTATAAACGTTAACAGTAGCTGATAAGCCCTATCATGTTTGTATGTAAAATAAACTGGAATTGATTTTTATGGTAAACATTAATATATTAATGTAAAAAAAATTTCAGCCATTCTGGTGCTGCTAGATCTGGGGTAAACAACCTAACCAAGTCCTTAGCCCTGGAATGGGTCCACAGTGGAGTCAGGATCAACTGTGTGGCCCCAGTAAATATAATCCAGTTTTGTTGTAGTTAAACAATAGACCTAAGCTATTAAAACTGTTTTTAAATAGTTATTTCAATTCATCTAATATTTCTCATATTAAGGATTCTCATGTTCATCTTTTAAATAGTATCTGTGATGTTTATCTTATGTATATCAATTTCTGTTTATCAGGGAAGCTCTATCTACTCAGAAACTGCTGCCGCCAATTACGGAGACAGCAAGATATTTGACTTGGTCGTCCCTCGTATCCCAATGAAAAGACTTGGCACAGTTGAAGAGGTGAGAGGAGAAATTATTTGTTTATAATTTACCTACAAATATTTCCTTTGGATTAGTGCATTGAATCTTCTTCTTCTTCATCTTGTCCTGCCTAAGGCACATGGGGCAGATGAAGTAGAGTTCATCTGATTAATTGACCCCGGCATATGAAGGAATAGTGTGGTCAGCACTATGCCCAGCTACCTTTGATTTCCCTAATGTAAGTTAGGTACCCATCAGAGAAGGGTGGACTTAGGGACGTTCCACTGATTTGAACCCGGATTCCAACTCGAGTCTCTCGGGTTAGCAGTCTAGCTCTCTACCACTAGGCCACACTGTCCCTATTGCATTGAATAAACCCTGCCATTATGGGTACTTGTGCAGTGTTGACCATACAATCCATTGATGTGCCAGGATCAAGGAAACAGAAACTCGACTGCCGTATTTGACCAACTCATCTGTAAGGAAACTTGACTTACCTTTACTTTTAAAACTGTTGATAGTGAATCTGAGAGCTGTATTTCCTGGCAGCAATACCTTAATGCTAAATAATGGTGATAATAGCACAAGAGATACTTGATGTGAAATTATATTTCCTTAATGTCATTTTTACAAGAATTAACTGATTTGAAAAACTGACCTGTTATGTTTAATTAACCTGGACCGCCTAATGATAATTAACCTACACAATTAAACTTCTAGATTCTTGTCTGGTTTTAGTTGTCTTGGATTGAAAAAGGCGACCATTGTTTTCCTTCCCCAGATTTCAGCAGCTGTTTGTTTTCTACTGTCACCAGCTGCGGCCTTTATAACAGGGGAGAGCATTCAAATTGATGGTGGGCAATCACTCTACATGACTTCCAGTTTTGATGTACAAGGTAAATGTGACTGTTTTCTGCCTTATTTCTCTTTTCAATAACATTTAGCTATTTTTAAAAATTTCTTATTTCAATACCATTTATCATTGTTATTTTTTAGGATTGTGTATATATATATATATATATATATATATATATATATATATATATGATATTTAAGAATTCTATTACAAAAACTATATGGAAGTCTTTCAATCTGCATTCTAAATATGTGCCTACAAGTTATAAACAGAACAAAAACAAAAATATTTTATAAAAATATTTTGATTTTTATATAGATCTGTAAAAAAATCTATTTAAAACAATGTTCTGAGACCTTGTAGTATTTTGTCAACAGACCATTCAAGCTGCCCCAAATATTCCTGGGACACTGATATTCAATCACAGAAAAGCATCTGCAAGTGCCATACTGATGAAATGAAATCTAAACTTTAGACTGTTATTTTAAACCAGCTGTTTACATGTTTTTGTTGCTGTTAATTTATTCATAAGTACATTTGAATGTTATGGCAAAACTAATAAAAATAAATGCAACAAATGCCTTTTTTTTCTTGTTTCTTCTTTAAGTTATATACAGCATACATGCAGAGATTCAATTTGATAAATTAAAATAAATGTGTTGAAATGAGAGGACTATAAATTACTTGCGGCCCCTTTTAGCCTGGGCACTGAGGGGAAAAGATGATTTATTGTTGTCTGGAGTGAGATACCGGGTAGCAACATTTTTCTCATTTGATGATGTGGTTATATGTTGGATGGGTAATGGTGATAGTGATTAGAGAGATGTTCATTTTTCTGCACAATTGTATTTAGTTGCAAAAGGATATTGTCCCATTGAATATCCTACTTGTTGTGGAAGTTTTTTTTTAACCAAATGAGACAAGGGAAAGATGAGAAAGAGTAGTTGTCGGGATCGTCAATTTAAAACTTAAGACTTTTTAACTCAAATGAATCATTAATTGAACTGGCAAAAAGCATTTTTCATCTATATAATTTGCAATATTTACATCTTGGTGTCCCCCCCCTCCCTATTGGTGTCACCCGGTGAGGCCCGCACCCCGCTCCCGCCTCGTGACGCCTCTGTCCAGTAGGCTGCTGTGTCGTGACGAAACGTATTTTTTAATTTTATTTTATCGTTGACGTCTTTATCCGTCAGTGACGTCAATAAATATATGTATGCAAAAGACATTTTTAAAAATATGGGCGGTGAAGCAGCTTGAAGAACACAGTTGTTTAGAAGTAAACAAAATATTTAAAGCACAGCCTATCATTTTAACGTTGTGTAACATCCACGTTGAGAGCACGCCGACACGGCGCGTCACGAACTTATACAATAGAAAGATACAACAAAAATAAATATCATCAACAAAATACTAGTGATAGTCAAATGATACCAGAAAAAGTTAGTAAGACAGAATCTAGGATAAAAACAGAGTTTCTTCCAGGCATCTCTTCGGAGCGAAGCCCCTCCCCCCACCCGAAGAAAGTCTACCGCCTCCCACCCCCCGAACGAAATGGAATTTATATAGAAAACATATACTTTTACCAGAGTCCGCCCCCCTTCCCCGGAAAATTTAGACCGCCCCCCCTCCCCCCGAAAATATCAAGTCCCCCCCCCCCCCCCCGGAGAAAAAAGTCTGGAAGAAACACTGGATAAAAGTGTAATGTATAACTCGCTACGAATTTCTTTCATCTATTATTCTCCGGGGAGGGGGTGCTAGTTGTATAACTATATTTTCTAAACTTGCATTACATATTTTCTTATTTCGTTCGGGGGTGGAGAGGAAATTAGGATGGTAGCGTTGCCGCACTAAAGAAATGCTTGAAAGAAACTGACTATTTAAAGTTAAAATAATAAAGTACACTGTAAATCCTCACTGCACTAAAAAGCACAGTTATCTTAATGGAAACAAATTGAGCCCTAAGTTGAGAATAGTCAGATGTTGCACATGCACCAGCCCCTCCCCCCCCCTTCACACAGCTGATAGACTCAGGGGACAGGAGTTAATTAAATTGTTAATGAAGTTAAAATCTTTGTGTACTTCCAATTCACCTACAATCAACTCGACGTGCAATAGATTGGAATCACCAAGACAAGAGAAAAGTAGGTAGGCCAAAACAAACTTCGGAAAGATCAACTTTCAGTGAATCACAAGCAGTCAGAATGTCATGGACCCAACTTTAAGGAATCTCCCAGAACTGAGTACGATGGAAAAGTCGGGTTGTGTCCCTCTTGATCTCCACAAGCGACCCACAAGAATAATGATGATTATCTTCCGATTCAATGCGTTAGTAATTTGTTCAGTTTTGTGCCTATTATTCGGTTGAAGGTGTCTCGGTACCTTGAGCTCATCCTAAAATAGATTACAATGTTGAAACTTGCGTTAAGGCCTTCCAAGATGGCGCTACAAAATATACACACAGCAAACGTATAGGTGTATTCTCCGCCGTACGTAAATCCTTTCTCCATCGTGCTGGCTAAAAATATACACACCGAAGGAAGAAAACAAATTATAAACACACAGGAAACTAATGCGACCATTTTCACAACTTTTTTATCCCTCGGCGAAAGTGTATTACTAGTTGTGTTTCCTGTTTGTGTTTTAGCAGACGAGTGTGAACTCCTCCAATCAGATTTTCGGTTTAAAGCAATGGCTAAAATAGTGGTAAAAACAAAAACTAAAAGAAAGCTAACAATTGGCATAAATATTCCGTTTACTGCAAAGGAAATGACGTCAACAAGGACACGTGTTCCATGATCAAGTTTGGGAACAAGATGAAGAATTGTTCTATTTTCTGCAGGGTAAAACCCCCACCCCAAACCTATTAAAACGTACGCTAGCGAAGAACATCTAATCACATTGAGGAAAATACACACCATTGACAAAATGCCTTGTTTCGGTGTGATTATTGATTTGACTTTTAACGGCGTTATTATACAAAGACATCTTTCAAAGTTGGTGAAGGCCGTGATCCATGCAGTGATCCTTGTGAACACAGTACGAGGCCACCCGGCTATCAGAATATGGAACTGTGTCGCAAACATCAACAGATCAGAGGAGCTCTTGTAGTTAGGGGCGTAGAACGGCACTCTGGCCATCGACATCAGGAGGGAGCAAAGATCAGACACGGCCAGAGCAAAGAGACTGACGTTAACTGAATCATTGAAACCCATGTTGAGATAGACGATAGTGTTGATGATGTTGCCTACGATTCCCATAGAGCCAACAGCCAGACAAATTATACTGATGACATCCATGGCGTATAAGTACAGCACGCTCTTAAATGGATCTTGAGTAAATAGAAAATTAGTTAATTCTTTAATACTTGTATTTGATGCCACCTTGAAAAAGAATTGAATTTCATTGATCAAGATCTCCTTACAACTACACAGGAGCTAGAGAAGAAAGATACAGTGAATGGTAAATAACTGCAATACTTTCTGCTCGTTAATCCTCATTAGAGGAATAAACATTACGATTACCATTCCTGGAAAGCAACTATTTCTCCTATAAAAAACAGCTTCTCTCATGTACAGAGGCGTAGCGATCCTTCCCGTCGCCCGGGGACAAAGTTTTCGATAACACGCTTTACTCACTCCCATATGTGTTGTGGGGAAGTACAATGTTATTGAATGGCAAATATTAACTGTGTAGGTCTTACAAATAACATTTTGTTTTACCCACTCGACTCAACAAACATACTTTTAAACTCAGAGTTCAAAAGATAATTGCAGGATATTATTATTTCTGACAAGCAGTATTTTGGATTAAACACAGCAATCTCTTATGGTTTAAAACTTCGTTTTAATTACCGAATACTGCTGTGATTCGGTACGATATCAAAGACTCGTTGATCTTATATAGTGATTCGGCACTAATTACACGACATGTAGGCCTATTTGCTTTGAGCGCATCAAACGGCTGGTATGAACTGACATGAAAAAAAATATCTGAATAAGAAATAAATAGTTAGAGCTTTAATTTTGTTTAATGGTCTGAAACATGTAAGTATTGTAAGTGCAACTAAACAAAATCAATGCAACAAAAAGTAAAATCAGTAGCTATTATTGTAAATTTTGTTTTAAGATAAAGCAACTTAATTACATGTTCATAAACAAACTTATGTACTTTATTGGGATTATATTGACAAGTTCATTTTGTAGTCCTAGAGTAGAAATTTAAAAGACTAATTAAAATTATATAATTATTATCTACTACTGAACAAGAAGAAAAAAATCGAATTATTCTTTTAAACAAAAAACCAGTTATAATGTGTCGAATAAACAAATGTTATATTAGATTAACTATTTAACAATATTTATTTCATATTTAATAACAAATAAATAAATGTATAAACGAAAAAAAGATAAAATAATAAAAAGAAATGGTTGATAATGCGTGAATAACATTTTAGAATCAAGGAAAATGTACGAATGCTACTTTATATATATATATATATATATATATATATATATATATATATATATATATATATCTGAACCCCCATATATATATCTGAACCCGCAACATCTGAACCCCCATCCCTCCCACTCATCGCACATCGTCACAAAATTACCGACCCTCACTCCCCCCTACGAGTGTGACGTCATTTATGGACCACCCCTTATCTGAAATGTGGAACTAGTATCTGATGCATTGGCATTGTTAAAGTTTCACAATTCTTGTCTCCAGATCCTAAAAAGTGAAATTTGTGACTTTTCACCCCCTTTTCCCCTAAATGATAAAAATACCCATCGAGACATCGGACACAAGGAAGGTGAAGAAGATTTCACCGATATTTGTAACCTAAGCACGTGAAGGGATAATGTGGTCAGGTCCATGCTGAGCAGAAATCGGTGCTTCGAAAGACAGTAAAGTGAGGTGTGACGCCTTTTTAAATGTGGCTTTTGGCGTTTTGGGATGAAGTGTACAGTAAGTAGGGGTGGGGAAATATAAAAATCGTCGAAATAAATGTGACTTCATTTATGAATGACCCCCGAAACCAACAGTTATCTAAGGAAAACGAGTAGTCCAGTGAAATATAAACGTAAAACATCAAATTATTTTAAAATTACTAAAAAATGTATTTCGTATTACTTGATAAATATTACACAGCTTAAATGTAATAGAATTTTTTGTTTAGTTGCTCCGGTGTTTGGGATTAAATTACTTGCACTCGCAAGCAGAGACGCATTAAGTAAAAGAAAAATCAAGTTGCTGAAAGCTTACATAAAAGAACGACGCATTAAGTCTAAGAAAATATCCTTAAACCTCGGATTGAGAAAGAGGTATATAATGACATTCATCAAACTATTGATGGAGCTGAGCAGATTTATGACAGGCACCTGCAGCACTAGGTAGAAACCGCTGCCTTCAATTCCATTGACTGCAAACAGCTGGCTACTCACTAGTCCAATGAAGTAGATGGAGGAGTGGATAACTACAAAAAGGAAGCAGACGCTGACCAGGGTCCTTGTAGTTCGTGAGGACGAGACGGATGTAGACGAGGATGTAAGGACCTTCCTCTTGCGGTTGATGAATCGGATTTTTATCCCGATGAGTATGCATCCTATAGTGACTAGTATCAATGGAACAAGAGTTGCCAATGTAGACATTATTTCATAGCTAAATAAGCTAATTATACTTTCGTTTTCAAAGAACCAGTCACTATAATACACTCTTGCAACAAACCGGTTATAAGTTTCAGTGAAGTAATACTGAAAAGTATACACAAAACATATGCAGAGGCTCCATGGCAGCCAAAACAAAAAGACGAATATGACCGTGGCCTTAGCTCTAGACGCCGTGACGATCGTTGAGAACCTGAGTGGGCAGAAGACAGCTAGACACCGCTCGAACGTTATCACCACCGTCATGAATGAGACGCAGTTGGAGCCCATGTTCTGGAAAAATTCGATCATGATGAAAGCAATGAAGGCGACGTACGCAACTATCCGAGGTGCGACCCACCCTGGGAGGAATAAACTGACACCTGGTCCAAATACGTAAAAATATTTGGCAATGTTGATCTGTATAGCGCATATATCTGCAATAGCCAGGCCAAGAGTGATGATGTTTGACGGTTTGTCTAGGCCGCTCTTCACAAACACGATACAGGAAATCACGTTTCCTAACAAGCTGAGGCAAAAAATGACCGGGATGACGAAAACGTAGAGATAGTAAGCGAGTTCAACCTCGTATGAGAACATAGCAAGCGTACCTTTTTGTCTGACAGTTGTTGACATTATTGTTGTGTTCATCGTGTTTAAAAACGAAAACGTCATGGAGAGATTTTGAGAAGCTTCTTCTGCGAATAATGAAGTTCTAGTAGTAGTAGTATACTACAGGCAGTCACTATCTGATGGTAACATAAATTCGTTTGATACATTCTGTGCGTTTTCGATAATGTGCGAACAGTGGCTTAGTATGATTAACACCGTATTCACATTTTCTGTAGCAGAAACGATGTTCAGGTTTGGTTGGGGTTGAGTTTCGTCTTTCGCGCTTGCTTCACCCTTGTTCAACTTATCGTCTGCTTTTGCTAAATAGTGTAAGCTCATCAGAGAAATAACATGGATAAAAACTACTCAAACAATCATTGTCCACGTTAGCTTTGTTTTATCTCTAATTAATGTTTGAACAATAAAAGCGAGACGAACAAAATTATATTAAAATATTATTGATTTGCGTAAGTTAAAGTGCTGTAATAGATTAATAGCAGTAACAATTAAAAGCTTAAATCTCATTTTTAACATTAAGCTACGTGAATCTACAATAATTTAATTGCAACAGGAGCCTGTTAATTCTTTAAAATTTATTCTTCGTTAAAAAGCCCATGTAATGTGGATTAGAGTGTAAGAACTGAAAAATACAAATGCACATACACTGATGAAAACGAAATTTATTATTATTTATTCATTTAGTTTTAGTCGCTATTTTCATTCTATAGATCTAAATCAAAATGTCACTCATAACTAGTTCTAACTTTATCTTTCTTTCCCTGCATTTAAACAAACAAAGCAAGAAGTTTCTTCAAGATTTGTGTTAGCTGCAAGTAAATATAATTTGAACAACATAATTATACAGCGGAGCATCACTCATCAATAGCTTCAAGTGATATCGTTTAATAAAACTATACGTAGATACTAAATAAAGCTTCCGCACATTATTATCGTTTTTAAGTTAGTTTTTATACTAAAGTGGCCACGTGTACGATATTTGCTACAAACGGTACTACTTTTATGTATTGATTTATTTTTATTAAAGAGCTATCAAACTATGAGATGCGTAGGCTCGTTTTACTGTATTTGGACGATGATTGAGTAAATGAGATTCTCTTTTCAAGGGTTAAATCATTATTCATACACTAAACCGTATATGAATTGAAAAGTTTTTATCGATTCTCGAGAGACTAGAGCAGTTCGACCTCAAATTCTACCGGTAAAGTAACATTATAACAAGATTAATGGAATACACTCCTCAAGCACACTTGTTAGTGCTTTTCTTAGAGTTGTTGACACGGTGACGTCTACACCAAGACATATCTTTGTTTACAATTAGGCCAAGGACACATATTTCTGTATCGATTATGTCTTTACCAAATAAAGAATGTAAGTGGGGTTGATTTCTTCTAAAAGTTATACACATATTTTATTATTGTGGTTACAATCAGCTATACATTAGCATATACACGAAGACCTTCATATGATAGGCAACGCTTTTATAAATAATTTGACCCAAAATAATTTCATTACAGATATACGGTTTTCCCAAATACAGACCAATTGTTCTGAAGTAAAGGCAAAGTACGGCTAAAATTATTACTTTAACCGGGACTACCAGAATTTTAATGTGATGATATTTAATTAAACATTTTGGAATTTTTCAAACTCAGTCATTACTCGCAGTATTAAGTATTTTAAGGATATGCGCAGAAAAAAATCACAAAATTTCTTGATCAGTTTCTTGCACTTTTGGATACTTTGTCCATTTTTTTTATAAAGAAAATAATAACTTTAAAGAGAAAAAAATATTTTATGTGTTTGAATTACGATTTTTATGACCTTATTAATTAAAAATAATCAATTTTTCCCAATCTTACAAGATCTCTATAAAAAGTTTTATATCCATCATTATATTGTATTTGACATCATTGAAAAGCTGGATTTCTCATGTATCTAATAAACTTAATTTCCTACATCTCGAAAACACCCAAAGCTTACAATCGGCTTTGCAGTTTACACAGATATGGTACTTT